GACGAAACAGTTTGTCACAGCCCCTCGTTTGTTGTCCTCTTCTCTCTCTCTGCCTACGGTTTACCGGGCAGTTCTGTTTGTGACGATATATATATATATATATATATACACATATATATATATATATATATACAGGGTTACCAGCGTTCGGGACGGGCCGAACGCCCGAACCCGAACGCCCGAACGTACGGTACCTCTTCGGAAGGCGTTTGGCCGTTCGGGCCGAACGCGGACCCAAAAAAAAAAAAACAAAAAAAAAAAAACGAAGTTTTCAAAAAATTTCCAAAAACCAATATGTTATGGAGAAAAATAAACTAAACAACATTTGCCTGGGCATTACATCCAAATTCTTTTCCAAATTTGAATTAAAAATCAAATACAGAAAATAAACACTATGCTAAAAATAAGAAAAAATAAAAAAAAATAAAAAGAGAATTAAAATGAGTGAGTGTGCCAGCACCTTTTCGACACCGCCATCTTTGCCGATTTTTAATTATTTTTTGGATTGACAATTTACAGATATGTAGTTTACATAATCAATAACTCATTAAAATTTTTTCAAAAAATAATAATTTTTTTCAGGCCCGGAAATAAAGTGAAAACAAAAAGTTAAAAGTGACAAAAAAACAAAATAGTGAGTGGGTGAGCACGTTTTGACACCCCCATCTTTTACGATTTTTAATGTTTTTTTGGCTTAGCAGAATGGCTTCAAAATTTATAGGCGTGTAGGTTACATCATAGAGAACTCACAAAAAAAAAAAATCAGAAAACAAAACTTATTTTTAGGCCCCGAAACATTTTTTGGCGGGGGCCGAACCTGGAGGTGTTCGGCCCCCGAACGAGACCCCGAACGCCCGAACGTTCGGGGGCCAGCCCGGGGCCCCCCGAACGTTCGGTCAGGTAACCCTGTATATATATATATATATAGCGGGCTTGTGATGGGGTGTGAACGGACAGTCTATAGAGTTTTCCATCTGGTGTGGGTGAGTGATAGTCTACTTTGATTTTGGTTACGGTAGATTATCATTTGCAGTGTAATCAGTGAGGGGATCCTGCAGACTGTTGAGGGTTCAGCCTCCTGATGAGTCGGTGAAACTCCGACGAAACAGTTTGTCACAGCCCCTCGTTTGTTGTCCTCTTCTCTCTCTCTGCCTACGGTTTACCAGGCAGTTCTGTTTGTGACGATATATATATATATCAT